GAACCGGTTCTACCGAACTGGTGCGAACTGGTAGGAACCCACCTCTGGTCTCCACTTCCCTGGAAGGAAGGCCCCTAACCACCCCCTGCGTTTCCTTTTGTGTAAGGTACCTCGGGATCTGCGTGAAGGACGACAAGCTCTACCCCATTCTGGAGGTAAGAGATTTGGGGGGGGGGGGGTCTTCCCTGCCCAAAGAACAGCCGTCAGTCATCTTGGCTGCCTTTTGAAGGAAGGATCCCGTGATCTTGGTGCCGGACAGAAAGCAGAGATTTCCCAGGGGTGGGATCGGCTCTCGGGAATCTCTTCCTGTGGGGTATTTGCCCGCCTTCTGGAACAGCCGAAGCTGAGCTGCTCTGGGGGGGCTCCTGCGGCCCAGCCTGTCCCGTTGCCTTCAGAATTTTACGCCTTTGATTCTCGCGTTGTGTTATTTTGTGAGCCTCCAAAGATTTTGCGATCGCAGCAACACACCCGTTTGATAGTTATCATCTCTCCATCTGGCTTGCAAGTGGCCTGATGCCCCCAAAAGTGGGGAGTTGCGGGGGGGGGGGGCTGGAACCACCCTTTTAGGATTGAGACTGCGGATGATGTGAGAAAAAGCCCGCCTGCATCTCAGTGTTAAAAAAACACACAAACAAGGGAATCCCCAGTGTGGAAAATCCTGCACTTAGAAATGTAGCAGCTCAAGGGAGAATAGTTTGTTCTTTAAGATTCCTTTCTTGGTCTTCCGCATGGTGGGGAGCGTGTAGTTCTGCCTTCCCCAAAGGGGCCTTTGCCAGATGGGTTGGGCTACAGCTCCCATCCTCCTCAGCCGGTTGAAAAGGGTGGGGCTACGGGGGCTGGGAAGGCAGAACTCCCCCCCCCCCCATGCCAGCCTCCGTGGGAAGAAGCGACTCCAAGGCCCCTCTTCCCCCCTGGGCTGCCCTCAGTACGTGAACGGCGGGTGCCTGGAGGAGCTCCTGGCCTGCAAAGACGTCTCCCTCAGCTGGAAGGAGAAAGTGGGCTTGGCCTCGGACATCACCCGCGGGATGGTCTACCTCCACTCCAAGAACATCTACCACCGTGACCTCAACTCCAAGGTGGGCTTCCAGTTCAACCGCCAGGGAGGAGGGGGACAGGGCTGCCACCCCAGAAAAAGGGGAAGCCCCGTGGCTCTTTCTTAGCTTGCTTTGCCCAAAGGAGCCTCCCTCTTCAGGAGCAGCCCCAGGAAAGAAAGAACTTTGGCTTCTGTCCTCCTGAGGTCTCCTAAAAGTCTTATTGGAGGCTGTTCTGGGGGTGGGTGGGAAGGTGGTTTGACCTGGTTTGGGGCTGGGGGCATTAAGACCTGGGCAGTTGGTCCGAGGCCAGTGTCCACCCGAGGGAAGAGGCCTCTGTGAGGCTGTGCCAGGCCAGTCCCAAGAGGGCTTTCCTGTGATCAGACCTGCATGCCATCTTCCCAGCCACACTTCCTACTGTTGACTTTCTATCGTGGGAAAATGGGAGGGGGGAGTATGTGGGTTCGGGTTAATCTCAGGGTTCCAAATAGCATCCGAAATAAAATTAGACCCAGGGTTCCTCAAAGTTCCCATTGATGAAGAGAGGCATGTTGGCACATCTGGGGAAACCCGAATCTGAAAGCTTCCCTGTTTTCCCCAGTTGAAAGTTCAAGATCCTGCCCCCCCCAATCCATAAGTCCATCCCATGGTCCAATCTCCCACTGCCACAAAGACAGATTCCTCCCGTCCACATCCGGCCAGGTGCAGAGACAAAGATGACCTTGAGTTTCTAAGAAGAATGTTGTTATGGCTACACTTCACCCAACACTGCATAATCCCATTTTCCCACAGTAGAACGTAAACAGTAGAAAGTGTGGCAGGCCTGAAACCTTAAAGAAAAGATGGCTTGCAGAACTGACACCTGTCAGTCGCAGCCCCCCCTCCTCCCTGAACTCCCAGTGGGTTTGGGAGGAGATTGAAGGGGCCGCCTGCCTGTTTTCCAGAACTGCCTCATCCGAGTGACCCCGCGAGGGCGGGAGGCGGTGGTGACCGACTTTGGGCTGGCCAAGGAAGTGGCGGAGCTCTCGGCCAAGAGTCCGGAGAGGAAGCTCTCGCTGGTGGGCTCGGCCTTCTGGATGGCTCCCGAAATGCTGCGCGGAGAACCTTACAACCAGAAGGTGCCTCCCTCCCTCTCCCCCAGGGCTGCCGGCTGGGCCTTGGGGACGCCCCAGGGAGAGGAGAAAGCAGGGCACTTGGGAGAGGGGCTGGCGCATTGCCTGCAGCTGAGCCGGGCTCCCTTTGGCAGGTGGACGTCTTTTCCTTTGGCATCGTTCTCTGTGAAATTCTGGGCAGGATCCCCGCTGACCCCGAGGTGCTGCCACGGACGCAGGTGACTCCCAGGCCCTGCCCTTCTCTGAAGTTTCTTAGGAGGGTCCTTCCTGCTCTGAGTGGCTTGGTGGCACTCTTGAAAAGCATGTTCTCTCTCTCTCTCTCTCTCTCTCTCTCTCTCTCTCTCTCTCTCTTTCTTTCTCTTTTTCTCTTTCACTTTTTCTCTCTCTCTTTCTTTCTCTGCCTCTCTTTTTTTCTTTCTCTTTCTCTTTTTCTCTTTCTCTTTCTCTCTTTTTCTCTTTCTTTTTCTCTTTCTCTCCCTTTCTCTCTTTCTCTCTTTTTCTCTTTCTCTCTCTTTCTCTTTCTCTTTCTTTCTCTCTTTTTCTCTTTTTCTCTTTCTCACTTTCTCTCTCTCTTTTCTCTCTCTTTCTCTTTTCTCTCTCTTTCTCTATTTCTCTCTCTCTCCCTTTCTCTCTCTCTCCCTTTCTCTTTTTCTCTTTCTCTCTTTCTCTCTCTCTCTCTCTCCCTTTCTCTCTTTCTTTCTCTCTTTCTTTCTCTCTTATTCTCTCTTTTCCTCTCTCTTTCTCTCTCTCTCCCTTTCCCTTTCTCTTTTTCTCTCACTTTCTCTCTCTCTCTCTCTTTCTTTCTCTTTCTCTCTCTTTCTCTCTCTTTCTCTTTCTCCCTTTCTCTCTTTCTCTCTCTCTTTCATTCTCTCTCTCTTTCTCTCTCTCTCTCTTTCTCTCTCTCACACACACACACACCCTTCGTCTCTAGGAAGGGAATTTAGAAGGGAAGCCTATTGGTGGGGGTGGGGGGAGGAAGGGCCGGGGACCACAAAATGACGGAAGGCCTCTTTACGACCCACCTTCTTTCCCTCCAGGATTACGGACTGGACGTGGCTACCTTCCACAGCATGATCCAGGAGTGTCCCGAGCAGGTTTTGGCCTTGGCTGCCAGCTGTTGCAGGGTGAGGGTTTCCTTCAACATGGGGATGGGGGGGTTGTTTTGCGACACAGAAGGAGGGACCGGGGGCCCCTGGCCAAAGCCGCTCTGAAGCCTAGGCAGGTGGCAGAGAAGCAACTGAGGGGGCTGGATAGTAGAGCCTCTGTGTTCAGGGCCATCTACCTTAGAGTTGTAGATCCAGGAAGGGAGAGCTAAGCTTGGTGGGGCCTCCTGGGGCCTCTGTCTACAGGCAGCTCCTGGGGGGCAGGGGGGAGAGAATTTCTACCTCTCCAATGCCAAGAAGGGTGTTTACCATTTCCAAAGGTTGGGTGGCTTTGGCAGGGCTTGTGGGGGGGGGGAGGGCGAGCTGCCCCCTGGCACACACACCCATTCTCGTCTCCCCCCTCCCCAGATGGAGGCCTTCAAGCGCCCCTCCTTCTCCGAGGTCCTGGAGGAATTGGAGGACACGGCGGAGCGGCTGGAGTTCCCGACCGAGAAGCAGTCCCCAGGTTGACTTCCCTCCCGGGGGGAGGATGTGGACTGACGCACACCTGTGTATCTCGGAAGAAAAGGTTCTGCAGGAGGAGGATGGGGGGGTTCGCCCCCCCTGGGGCAGATCAGAGGCTTGGAGAGTAGATGGCACTGCTCCCTTCCCCCCACACCACCCCCTCTCTTTTCTAGATGCCCAGATTCTTCTGGACCAAACGATATTGTTGCTAGAAAACAAATCCCACCCCCCTTTAGATGGCTCTGGCCAGTGAGCCAAGCTGCACCTCTGCCACAGCCATCGGGACCCGAGTTGCCTCCAGTCCTCAGACCCCTGTCTCCTCCCCCAGAGCCTGCCCCACCTTGCCCAGTGGGGCTGCTGGCAAACAAGCCACCCTCTTCCTGCCAAGGGCATTTCAGGCCCAGAGGGTGGTGAGCCTGGCTCTCTGCGCATCTGAGGAGGGGGTGGATCCCTGAAGAAGTGGGGGGGGGGTTTCCTCTGGGCATTCAGCCGCTTGGGGGGGCGCAGCCTTCCAGCCAGGTTTTCTGGGTTTAATGATTCAGAGGGCATATTCTGAGCAGAAGGGAGCTGCCCTGCGCATCTTGGCTCTCCTGTGCCAGGCACCCGGCTCCCCCAACCCTCACCATGGTAGCCCCCAAGGGGCGCCCTGACTTTTAAAGCAGCCCAGGTTCCCCTTGGTGCCTGAGAAGGCTTGGTGAACAGCCCCCTCCTCTCTCTTCCCTCCCCCCTTTCTCTCCTCCTGCATTCTGCTCCCAATTGGGCGTGAGCCGCTGTGGTTCCGCCGTGGGGAGCAGGAGGCTGGAGGGCAGATAGCCAGGGGGTCCCCAGGAAGACGCCCAGGTGGGAAGGGGCTCCGGTAGCCCGGCCCCCGGGGAAAGCTTTGCCAGCCCTGCCAAATGCCAGGAAGAGAGAGGGCCTGAACCCATCCCAGGTGGCAGGCGCACGAGTCCATCCTTGTGAACCCCGGAGGCCCTGGGCATCCCATAATAGCCCTCTGGAAGGCGCCCGGCCTGGGGACCGGCCCCCCGAAGCCGAGGGCAGCTGCGTCCCCCTCCGGACCCCGCTGGACACCACGGATCGGCTGTCTTTGTAAATCAATAAATGGCTTCTGAGCTCTTCCCAGAAATTCCTTCAACTGCAAGAGCCCTTTGCACTCTTCACTCTGTCTGTGTGTTTGTCTGTGTGTGTGTGTGTGTGTTTGTGTAAGTGTGCCTGGGTGCCCCAGGGCCCTTGTGCTGGTAGACCCGCATAGACTTGTGCCCGCCACAAGGTGGAGCCCTTTCACCAGCTATGCTGCATTTGGCAGCCGGGGATTCTCCAGGCACCTTCTGCTCCCCTCCTCTGGGTCAGTGGATGCAGACTGAAGGCCAAGCAGGCTTCCTCCTCCTCCTCCTCCTCCTCCTCCTCACCTCCACTCCCCAGCTGGCATTTTAATCCAGGCCATAGAAACGGCTTGCTTGGATTGGACTCTAGAGATGGTTTTGCAACTGGTTCCTGCTGGAGTCTTTCCTTGGGGGGGGGGCACCTTCGAGGGGATGCAGTCGACGCTGGACGATGCCTGGCCCTTCAGCCAAAGGGCCCAGAGCTTCTCCTGGGTTCATGGTTCCCCATCAGGTCTGCCTTTCAGAGCTCAGGAAGTAGGCAGAAGGGGGACACGGAAGGATTTCTTCCAGGAAGTGCTGTCCTTCCTGGGGGGCAGGGGGCTCCCCATAATGGTGCCCGAGACCCACAGAAGACAGCTGTGGCTCACTTCTCCCCCCCCCCCCCTTTGATATTCAAACCTGCTTTGGCTTCAGGCTCTTCCTCCTCCTCTGAGGGTGAGACCTGGGAAGTTCTAGCCACCCTCCTCCACGCTCAACCGCACGTCAAAAGACTTGCCAAAACAAGGTTTCGAATGTATTTTCTTGTCATTTACAAGGCAATAAATCAACAAAGGTACCAATTTCCAAAAGCGGTTAGGGCAGCCTGGTTTCCAGGCCTAACAACCTGCACGAAGTACAACCATTTCATAAATCTCTCAGTTGACGGTGGGCGTATTTGTGTGTGCTGAAAAAAGGCGGAGCCCCCCCCCCCCCATGCCAACCCCTGGCATGCTTGGACCTGCAAAATACGTCCCACTTCTGAAACCGGAGCCCTTGAGTCCTCCGGGAGGCTCTGTCTGGCTGCATAGACAGCTCTGTGGGGCAGCCCCAGGACTTGAGTTCCCTCTTTAGCTCACACAGCGTCCCCATGCAGGCCAGGCCGAATCTTTGTGCCCACAGGGGCGAGGAGAAGCCCGTCTTTAAGCTATAAAAGGGAAAGGACGGACGGAAGGGCCGACATCTAATTTTAGAGCCCATCAACGCAGGCGAGGCACAGCAGGACACGGCGTGTGCAAATGAGCTCGGAAAGGGAGCCGGCAGGCAGGTGTTTCAACAAACAAAAGGGGAGTCGGGCACCTTGGCAGGTGCCAGCGGGACAAAACACCCCCTCCGTCCTCTGGAGCGGCACAGGAACAAAAAGCAGAGCTTTTGTTCCGCCAACTTGGGTGAGTTGGAAGGATAAATACCCACCTGGTGTGTTTCTACCTGCATATTTGTCCACAGGTGGGGTGGGGGGAATCCCCATTTTGGAAAACGAAGCTTTGGGGAGGATAAAGCCAGGAGATCCTGACCCATCGGCTTAGCGTGGCTCCCTGAAGCCCATCGGAGGAGATTCCCCCAGGAGATCTGGAGAATCTGAAAAGAGGGCCTGGGGGCTTCCTGCTTGTCAACATTGGCCACCTCCTGGATTCCTGTGTGTGGGAGGGGGTGTCCTCTTGCTTCCCATCCCTGACTTCCCTTCCTGTGTGGGGTGAAATCCTGCCCTGCCCTGGTGCCCTATCTTGGGCTCACCAGGGACGGTCTCTGCGTGCCCAACAGGAGCCTTGCCAAGAGAGAAGGGCAGTCTCGCAAACCCGGCCACTTGAGGGGGGAGCCGAAAAGTTCCATGCCCCCCAAAGTTGGAGAACCGGTGCAAAATCTAAAAGGAAGGACGGGGGAGGCCCGAGGTGTTTGGTCTACATTCCCTTGTTCTGGGGCTGAAAGGCAGAGGGAGGTTGAAGTCTCGATGAGGCCCAGCTCCGGTTCTCTCTCAGAGCAAGAGGAAGGGAGCCCCACCACAGGTTGTCCTACATAACGTGGGAGAACAGAGAGGGACTCACAGAGGCCCGGTGTCGAGGGAAACGAAGGGGGCCGTAGGAGGTGGCTGAAGGCAGCTGGACGCTTCTGTTGCCAGCTGTGCCCCCAGCTGTGCCCTTCTGCGGGGGGTGAGGGAGTGAGGCCCATGTGTCCATGGCTGCAAGCCAGCTCTGGTCCGCGCAAGGCCTTGGGGCAGGTCAAGAGTTGCCTCTGACCTGGTGGTATTCTTTAGGCTTCCAGGACAGCTTGATGTTATGGATGTTCTGGTCCCTGCCGATCTTGTAGTCCCAGCAGTACTCCGGGGAGAGCAGCTTGGTGGGCTTGTTGAGCAGGAAGTACCTGTTGAGGTGGCTCTCGTCGTGCCAGATGGCCTCCACCTTCCTCTCCTTGTCCTGCAGAATGCCCTGGTAGCATTGGCGGGTGAGGTTCAGCACCTGCAGCGGCGTGCCCCCAAAGACCGCTCCGTGGTAGTAGTAGTCCCCCTCGTCGTAGGAGATGTAAGCGGCCGACTCGGGGCGCCTCTCGTAGGTGAAATGGCTCCGGCCCCTGTGGTAAAACCAGGCGTGGATCTGGGCCACGGACGTGCCCAGGGCCTCCACCCCGTAGTGGCTCTGGAAGGTCTGGTCGACGTCCATGCAGAAGAGGAAGTCCACCTCGAAGCGGATGGTCTCTTCGATCAGCTCCGCGATGGTCCTCATCCTCATCATGCTGATGTCCTGCCAGCGGTCGTGCTGCTCCACCCGGAAGAGCTTCAGCGTCCGCTGGGGGGCCAGCCTGACCTCAGGCACCTTGGAGAGGTCATCAACAACGATGTAGAAGATGACCTTCTGGCCCGCCATGAAGAAGGAGTTGGCGGAAACCAAGAAGTCCTTCAAGTATTTGTCCAAGTACCTGGATGGGGAAAGCGAAGGCGGCTGGGATGAGGGGGCCTCCCCCCAGTTGCTGCAGGTTCTACCCCCCTCCCCGCAACTCAGCCCTCAGTCCATGGGGGCCGAAGTCCTTGGACGGTCCTCTCTGGCCGTCTCCTCCTCAGCCGTGTCAGGCTGGACGCGGCACTTACTTCCCAATGGCGAAAACGCTCAGTCCCACGGTGACCTTCTGCTGCCTGTAGTGATAATGGAGGGTGGCGCTTTCGAATGTCCCGTCCCACACGATGGGGGCTGACCACGGGCTCAACGTGGGCACCTCTGTCCGTGCGCTGGAAAGAGAAGACAGATGAGGGTCCCTGCCTGGTCATCTTGGGATCAGCTGACTCTCACTCAGCCCCTCCATCCCTCCAAAGCAGCCTTCCAGAAAGGGGGGGGAACTGGGCCAGCAGGGGTCCCCCGTTTTTCCCTACTGGAGAGGGGATGGCAGGGAGCCTCCGGTCTGAAATTCCAGGCCGAAGGAAATGGGGGTGTTTGGCTGCAGCTCTCCAGCCTCATGTTTAAAATGTTTAGCAGGGAGTGGCTGGAAGCGGGAAATGTTTGGCCTTTCAGCGTGCTAATTGGATCCAGATGTTTGGGAAACTTCCTCCTCCTCCTCCTCGGGGATTTAATCGAAAGCAAAGCAAAACAGATCCTTTCATTTGAGTGGGCTATTTTCAGCCAGCTGGGCTTCCAGGCCAGGCCCGATCGGGGTGAGCGTCGGTCACCTCTTCCAGCTGAGCAGCCTCCCCTGGTGCCCGGCACTTTGGGTGGAAGGACCCTGGCGGGGTTTTGCCCAGGAGACGGGCAGAAGGCCTCCTGCTTAGCCTTCAGCTCTGGGTTTGCAGGCGTGAGGAGCTCCGGCTGGGTCTTGGGAGACGCACAGCAGCTGCTCCTTTCCAGGGGATTCTGAGCCCCTGGAAGCCTCCCCCAAAGAGTTTCCTACTGGGGGTTAAAAAGCCCTCATCTCCCGGGGACTTCTGGCTTTGGCGGGAGGGTGGGGGTGGGGAAAGGGGAAGTCTGGAGGAAGCCCAGTCAATGCGGCCCCCGCCTGAGTTTCACCTCCAAATGAGCCTCTGACCTTGGGTGAAACCAGCTGCTCAGCGGAATCCCTCTCGGTTCCTTGGTTGAATTGGCATCTCTGTAATGAAGGAGGAAGGAGTCGGAAGGCGGCCCAGCAGGGATGCTTTTCCAAAAGGCAACTGGATTTTCTTGGGGGGGTTTCTCCCCCCCCCCACTTCCTTGAAAATGCTTCGCTTCTCATCTAAGAAGCTTCTTCAGTTCTCCAGCTGTCTTTGGGAAAAGCACTTTTGGGGCAACTGTGATGGGGGAGAGGCTCTACAGACACACACACACACACACACACTGTCAATCAAGGCAGCCGAGTTTTTTTTCTTTAAAACCCACAAAACCAACAAAGGGCCCTTCAATTCTCGACTTCATTGTTTTTCTCCTTGTTCTGTTGGCTTTCCTTCAATCAAAGGAATGCTTCTGCGCTCGCTTTTGGCTCCGATCCCTGACGTGTAGATGAAATAATTTGGTGCCAAGGAAACTATTTAGCCAATGTTGCAATGTGGCTTCCGGGAGTTGAACTATACTGCAGGGGAGGCGGGAATCTGGCATGGCTACCTGGGGGGGTCTGTCTGCTGGGCAAGAGTTGGGGAAAGTGGACCTCAGCAAGCCTGAGGGCTGGGGGGGGGGCTTGGCAGGACACGGGACAGATCCCCCTCCCCAGGCTGAGGAGGGGGAGCAGCACTCTGCTGCCACCTGCAGGAAGAAGTGAAGGTGTGTAGCCTCTATACCAGTGTTTCTCAACCTTGGCCACTTGAAGATGTCCGGCCTTCACCTCCCAGAATTCCCCAGCCAGCGAATGCTGGCTGGGGAATTCTGGGGAGTTGAAGTCCGGACATCTTCAAGTGGCCAAGGTTGAGAAACACTGGTATAGAGGCTACACACCTTCACTTCTTCCTGCAGGTGGCAGCAGAGTGCTGCTCCCCCTCCTCAGCCTGGGGAGGGGGATCTGTCCCGTGTCCTGCCAAGCCCCCCCCCCAGCCCTCAGGCTTGCTGAGGTCCACTTTCCCCAACTCTTGCCCAGCAGACAGACCCCCCCAGGTAGCCATGCCAGATTCCCGCCTCCCCTGCAGTATAGTTCAACTCCCGGAAGCCACATTGCAACATTGGCTAAATAGTTTCCTTGGCACCAAATTATTTCATCTACACGTCAGGGATCGGAGCCAAAAGCGAGCGCAGAAGCATTCCTTTGATTGAAGGAAAGCCAACAGAACAAGGAGAAAAACAATGAAGTCGAGAATTGAAGGGCCCGTTGTTGGTTTTGTGTGTGTGTGTGTGTGTGTGTGTGTGTG